TTCTATCATGAGGACCAGAGTTTGGTTCCCAGCACCCGCATGGGGCAGCTCATAACTGCCTGTAACTCTAGCTCCAGGGGATTCAACATTCTCTTCTGGCTTCCTTGGACACATGCATGTACACACAAATAAAAATAAAAGAATCATACAAACATAACTACAGATAATAAAATGTGCAGGAAGATCTTGTAAGTAATATACCAATTAGGAGAAAGATTTCCACCTTTTGTCTCTTTAGGGAAATACTTAGAAAATCAAGCTTTGAAAGCTTTTCAGACTGTCTTGATGTGCCCATGCAGATACAAAATCATCCTTGTTAGATGCATTTAAACTTATTTATTTTTTAGAATTTCACACATGAGTATTATACGCACATTATCTCCACTCCTCCCATCTTGCCTCCCACTCAGCCCATGCCCCCCCATTTCCTGTCCTCTTCTTTGATTATTATTGTTGCATTTATATACATTTATAACCATTTAATGGTGCTCATGTGTTCCCATGTTTAGGACTGCCCACTTGGCATTAGATAAGCTCTCAGGGAGCTAGACCCTGGAGAACTGACTCTCCCTCACTCAGCATCTACTGTCTACCTGTAGCTCTTCATCTAGAGGTGGGACCCCATGAAAATTTCCCCATCCGAATGGCCGTGCCAGCTGGTTTTGTCATTCTGCAGATCTCGTCAGCCTACCACACTGTGGAGAGTTCACTGGTGCAGCTTTGCTATCGTGTCTAGAACGCATTAACTAGCAGCAGGTGTCCGCCCCTCTGGCTCACATACCCTTTCTGCCCCCTCTTCCATGATGTTCCCTGAGCCTTTGGTATAGAAGTTGCTTTGTAGATGTGTCACTTAGGGCTGGGATCTCACTTATTCTCTGCATTTGACCAACTGTGGAACTTTGTAATGTCTCCATTTGTAGCAAGAGCTACCCTTGCCTGTGACCATAAAGATGCATATTTAAAATATAGTGAGAAATTACGTTGATCTAGGAAAGTGGTGTAGTTCCTCCTCTAGGGTCTGTGACCTCTCCAGCCTTGTGTACCTGGCTATGCTTACAGTACTATGCATGGATTCCTATTGAGTAGGGTTTAAGTCTAATTAGATAGCTGTTGATTGCCCCCAACATAAAAGGCCACGGTTGTACCAATAGAGCTAATCTGTGGGCCAGTCGTTGTATGATTCTTGAGTTTTACAGCAAGGTGGGACCATTGATTGGTTTTCTCTCTTGGTAGCTTCTATAGCAGTTTCTGATACTATGAGAGCTGGTCTTCAGGGAAGAGGCTTCCAGGTCAGTTCCAGCTTAATTGTTTCAAGTCCTGTGTCTGAAGTATGTCCTCTCTTCAGCATTTGACCTTCGAGTTCTGGCAGGCAATCAAGGGCTGTGGCAATAGCCTATTTTATTTTTGGAGTCTCTTGGACTACCCTGACCAATAGCTCAAAGGGAGGTTTTCCTTGCCTGGCACTGTGATTTTTGTTATAGAGTCTCAGCTACACATATGCACCCACATATATATTATACGTGTAGTAGGCTTATGAAATAATGTATTTCCCTTCGGTTTTCAAATCACCTAAGTATTATTTATCTTTCTTTCCCCTCTCTCCCCCTCTATAGCTCTCCCTCCCCCCTCTGCAGTTAGAGGATCTCCCCCTATTTTCCCCATTTCCCCTTTGATGATGCCTGTGTTCTACTGGCCTCCTCCCTCAAGATCCTGTTTCCCCTCTCTCTCCACAGTTCCTTTCTATTTTCCTGGCCCCTGCTAAGGCTCCTTCAGGACATATACTCACACCCAAGGATTTGGAGTAAGGATCCATAACTGAGCAAGAACATGCATCCATTGTTTTTATGAGTCTGGGTTGTGTCGCTTAGTATAGCAATCTCTAGTTCCATCCTGCAAATTAGATGATTTCGTCTTTCTTTACAGCTGAATAGAACTCCATGTGTAAATGTACCACATTTTCATTATCCATTCATCAGCTGATGGACATTTAGGTTGTTTCTGTTTCCTGGCTATTGTGAAAAGAGCAGCAACAAACATGGCTGAGCAGGTGTCTCTATGGCAGGAAAGTGAGTCCTTCAGGTATAGTCCAAGGAATGATGTGGTTTGGTCATATGGTAGATCTATGTTTAGTTTTGTGAGACTTCTCCACACTGATTTCCATAGTGGCTGCACCAGTCTGCAATCCCAACTGCAGTGAATGAGGGTCCCCTCTCCCCACATCCTCATCAGCATTTGTGGTCAGATGTTCTCTTGATCTTAGCCATTCTGACTGGGGTAAGATGAGATCTTAAAGCAGTTCTTATTTGCATTTGCCTGATTACTAAGGATGTTGGACATTTTTAAAGATATTTCTTAGGCATTTTTAGTTCTTATTTGAGAACTCTCAGTTCAGATCTGTAGCCCATTTTTTTTTTAAATTGGGTAGTTTTCTTGATTCTTTGTTTTTTGAGTTCTTTGTACGTTTATGGAGATTAATCTTTTATCAAATGCATAGCTGACAAAGATTCTCTCCCATGCTTGGGTTTCCTTTGCTGTACAGAAGTGTTTTTTGCACATTTAGATAAGTGATTAGCTTCCGAACCCTGGGGCACAGAAGGCTGTGTACGTGGGGAAGGCTGTGTACGTGGGGAAGGCTGTGTACATGGGGAAGGCTGTGCACATGGGGAAGGCTGTGTATGTGAGGAAGGCTGTGTAGGTGGGGAAGGCTGTGTACATGGGGAAGGCTGTGTACGTGGGGAAGGCTGTGTATGTGGGGAAGGTTGTGTACATGGGGAAGGCTGTGTACGTGGGGAAGGTTGTGTACTTCTTTGTGTTCTCCTGGGAGTGGAAGACAAACTCATAAACAAAACCCTCTAGCAAGAGCCCATCTACCCATTGGCCCCTTTCTGGCTTCTAGGGTCCCCTTGAACTAAAGCCTGTGTCCAGGGCCGCCTGAGCCTTGATTGACCATCCTGGGGTTGACCAGCCATGACCCCTCCCTGGGGTTGAGTCAACCCCACCCACCATGGGTTATACTGTTTATAGAAAAGAATATTGGGGGCTGGAGAGATGGCTAAGAGGTTAAGAGCACTGGCTGCTCTTGCAGAGGAGGATCTGGGTTCGGTTCCCAGGACCCATACAACCACTAACGACTGTTCATAACTCCAGTTCCAGGAGATCTGACGCCCTCTTCTGATTTCCATGGGCATTGCGCGACATGGGTGTAATTAAACACATTCAGGCAAGATACTCATATGTATAAAATAAAAATAATAAATTTTTTACAAAAGAAAAGAATGTTGGGCACTACACACACAAAAAGTGCTTAATGACAGAGACAGAAAGGATGTCACTCACGTGTGCAACAGATGGAAAATAACTAACACAAAATAAAATTTT